CATTAAACCTTTTACAGTTTGAGGAGAATCAAGGCTCTCCTGTTTTCTTTTTGGTTTGTTTTTGAATAATAAATAATAATCAAGATAGCTCTTTATTTTTGTGCTGTTTTTATGCTGAAGTTCTTTACAAGTGGTGTAGAATTGGTAGCAGGTGGTTCTACGCATCAATAGATCAGGTTGTTTCTGAAAGTTACAAAGTTCTTTAAAAAGACTGAAAATTACACAGAAAAATACTGATATTACAACAATTTGCTTGTATTTTTTAATACTAATACTTACTGAATCCTCACTTGAATATTTTAAAAATTCAATACTTGACTGACTAACGTTTAATTATATATATGTATATATATATATATATATATATATATATATATATATATATATATATATATATATATATATATATATATATATATATATATATATGTATGTATGTATATATATATGTATGTATGTATACATACATACATATATATATATATATATATATATATATATATATATATATATACATACATATATATATATAAATACATACATACATATTTATATACATACATACATACATATATATACATACATATATATACATACATACATATATACATACATACATACATATATACATACATACATATATATATACATATATATACATACACACATACATATATATATATACATATATATATATACACATACACATATATATACATACATATAGATACATATATATATATATATATATATATATATATATATATATATATATATATATATTAGTGCTGTCAATCGATTAAATTTTTTAATCGCGATTAATCGCATCAATGCCTGAGTTAACTCGCGATTAATCGCATTTTAATCGCACATTTTTTTCCTGATTGAAAATCATTTAAATACTCTCAATGACATACAAAAAAATACATACAGGCTAGGTTTGTGCCAATGTTCTTTTTTTAAAATGAAAACAGGTCACAGATACTGATTTATGCCATAGAAACATATGGCAAGAAGATGGGGAGGCATGTAGCAAAAAATAACAAATATGTAGGCAAAAAAAAGGCCCTGAAAACAGGCTGATGTAAAAGACAGTCTTTACAGTTAATACAGTCTTTTGAACAAAGACAAGCATTTTACCCTACTGCTATAAAATTTAGTAGAGTTAACATTAGATGTTAATTAACCAAGGTAATAATGAACAATTTTCAATCAATACATCAAAATCAATAGACCGACATCACTAGATGAAGGTAGTCTATGCTCTCTAGAAAGTTACTTTTCAGCCTCTTAACAAAAATGAGAACACACACACACCCACTCACCCACACACAGACACACCCACCCACACACACACACACACACACACGCGATACCGACCTGTTGCGTACACAGACGGCAAGAGTGCTGCTACGAGATTCCATTTCACCTCAGTAATCAGTTTTCTCAGCGTATTTCAGGTTGCTACTACACTCAACTTGTTTGTTGGTGGTGGGGCTTAAAGAAAGGCACTAGCGTCACCCAGTGTATGAGCGTCTTTTTCCCTTGAGGAGCTCCGCTCTAGAAGCCTATGAGAAATGCATAGACTGGGGGAAAATAGCCCCGCCTTCCCGCAGGCTGCAGCGGGATGTACTTGGAAAAATTGTACCATAAAACCACATAGCGTTAATCTCACGTTAAAAAAATTATCGCCGTTAAAATGGCCTCGCGTTAACGCGTTAATAACGCGATAATTTTGACAGCACTAATATATATATATGTACATACATTTACATATATATACATACATATTTTTTTTATTGCGAGTTGAACTTTCCATGCCATGAATAAAAATCCATGCTAGATAAATTATCACTGAAATATGCATAGACAATGCAAATAGGAGGGCAAGTAGGAAAGTGCAAAAAGTAACGTCGTTAGTGTAACACCTTGTCTTTGGCATTATATTTGAGTCATAAGTCGCACTAGCTTAAACACATCTCTACGCGCGCAATTTTTTAAAGCTACAGTGTGTAATTTTCAGCGACATCTAACGTCCAGATTGCAGACCGCAGAAACATGAACATCTCCCACTCTGTCCACTCTGTTCTCTGAGTCGTCCTCATCTATGACTCAGATGATGAGGCCATCTGTGATGAAGCAGACAAGTCATATGCCATCTTCTGAAGGTAGAAGCCTGGGGAGTAAACGGAGTGTTGAAGGTGAACTTAATCACTTCTAGCCAACATTCTAGCAACATTATCTCTGTGGGCCCCATATGAAGTACAAAAACAAAGTACAAAACCTGATAAAGGTTCAGGATTGGGTGACAGTTCCATAAATCGGCCAAGAAGGTACAATTATGCAATTCTCAATGTATGCGGAAAAATAGTGACTACGCACCTCGAATGGAACCATCGATGACAGCGCACCACTACATGCTACAGACATCGCAAGTTCCAAAAACTCATTTCAGGGAGATCCTTATCGAAAATAAAATACTAAAATGCATAGTTCTTATAAGATCTTTATTGTGATTTGAAACATATTATATAATGAACTACATACAGTTAATAACATAGTAATTAAAAGTACCACTGTCTGCTTTGCTATTGGTGTCATGTTTAAACGGCTCACCATCATGTTAAAATCTGCCATGTGTTGGGGTATAAATATGGTCCAGTGCGGTCAGTCACTTCAGATTCAGGTGGGCTGATGAGGAATTTTTGGAACCGTTACATCTGCAAAGAGATGTCCTAGTCTATATTTACGTAGGGGGCCAACCAGGTGTCAGTGATGGGGCCCTTAGGAGGCTGTGGGCCCTTAAACAACTGCTGTCTCTGCTTACCGATATTTACGCCACTGGTTCTAGCACCTTTCCTTGTGGTGCCCCTGAGCAGCAGAACAGCCTGCCATTGCAAACCCTGTGGGTCAACCACTGGGTGAATAATTGTGATGTTCTAGCTGTGTTGTGTTTATGCTTATGTCCTGGTAAGAATAAAAAAATAAAAAATAGTTGAAAAGCTGTGATGCAGTCAGGCCAGAAATTCTGTTGCACCATTCCTCACAGAGACAATCAGGCTGGGGGGGCAATACAAGCCATAGAACACAGATGGTACCACACAGAACCCAGCAAAACACGCCCCTGCTGGCCCAGAAGGCACTTCTGCTATTGTTACCATGGAAACCACTAGAGAACCAAGGCTCATAGATATTTAGCACGATGGAGCAATTGTCACATGGCTGATAGTACCACCTGACTGAGCCTGAACTTTTTTTTTTGTCTACCAGTAAACACCAGGATCAGAGGCGTAGCCAGAAAATCCTAATAGGGGTGGCCAGTCAATAACCAGTGTACATTGAGGGGTGTCCGAAAGGCGGCAGAACCTCAGGGTCAATCTACACTGTCCCAACACATGTAAACATCCATGTCGTCTAAATAAAAGGTATAGAGGACAAAATTCTTTGAGGTTTGAGATTTGGGGCGAACATATTTTACATTGTCATTACCTACTTTTATTGGTAATCATTCTGCAAAAAAAATAAATTTAAATGTACTAATATTGACATTAAATTTTTAAGTTATTATTAAAGTAGTTATTTATCTATGATCTCACTGAAGACTCCTAAATGACTTACAAACATATCATTTTGTTTTTACCTCAAATAATACAAAATTTTGTTCTGAAAAGAGCATGGGCGGTTCTAGACAGGGGCCAACAGGGGCCAGTGCCCCTGTAGATCATGTCCTGGCCCCTGCTTTGGCCCCTCTTCTAAAGACATAATATAAAGAGAAATTCTAATGATAATATGCGCTGGAGCAGACATGGTTTCTGATAGGTCCTTTGGATATATTTAATTTTTTTCTTTAAAAAAAATTCCATTTTACTAATTATTTTAAAACAATAAGGTGATAGCTTCAATGATATTGAGATAGGAGTTTTCCCAGTTTTTTCAAAACAAATAAAAAAAAATACTCTATATTACTCTATAAAAACTTTTACAGCTGAATTTATCTATTTTTCTTGGGTTCTAATTCAGATTTTTATAGAAAACTATAATTTTAACTTAAATTACTTTATAAATAAATAAAATTCCTAAATGATGAATCTATATTGACGTAATATTCCAAATAATAGCTTTATTTAATCTTTTTTATATATTCATATAGCTACAAATTCCTGAGTTGCTTTTAATATATTTCAATACCTTGCCCAGTTTTTTTGCTTCATGCTTTTCTGTGCCCCCATGAAAACACAAAGCATGAATTCTGTATTTACCATCTTTAATGTTAGTATATTGACGTGCATAATTAACCACAGTGTTTCTGTTGTAAAGTAATTGTTAATATCTGTGCGAATAATCCCCTTGAGAGTATTACTGCTGCTACCATCTGTATTAGAGGGAAAGAAAATGTTAGGGGTGGCCAATGATTGGCAAGGGTGGCCCTGGCGACACATAGCCCTCCATCTAGGTCCGCCCCTGACCAGGATGAACTTTCAAGAAGCCGCCTGCTGCATCATCAGCCGTTACTGTAGCAACCGTCACAAAGCCGTGAGCGCGTTCCCGCGCCCACCGAGGGTCCAGATATGTTTTGGGCTAAAACAAATCTGGACCCAGTTGTCTGCTATGATCAGAGCAAAACGCACGAAGAGCGCGCGCCGTCCAGTTTACATGAAGCAGCGTCATATCCGGTCCGCGCGCGTACCGTGTGAGAAGACGGTCACAGGAGGAGCGTGCGCGCGGACAGGAAGTTGCCGAGAGCGGATCGATGGATGTGATTAGAAATGTGAACCCAGAGAGTCGCAGCAACAGCGCAGGGTTCGGTTCTAAGGAGGATCTTGTCCAGGAGCGGTGATCAGCTCAAACAGGCCTGTGCTTCTAATCAGGATCCAGTCTTTCATCTGCTGCATTGTTCTCATCCAGGATCTGTGTTTCCCCCCCTAACTCAGAGTGATCCGCGGTTTTGATCGGCTTCATTGTAAAAGGACTGCAACATTATAGTATTTGATTCTCATTATTTATTATTAAAATCAGCTGCAGATGTTCAGCACATCTGGACCACACCAATCCACCAGTTCTGAGATGGTTATGGCTCTGAAGTGGTTCTGTGTGACTTGCCTCTAAATGTGGGAACATCTATATTTTATGAGGATCGATCGCAGCATCAGTCGATGACCTCTCCATCTGGGAGCTGCTGCCAGGAGATGAAGGTCAGCAGCAGGAGGAAGAGGATTTTTGCTCAGACCCATGTCAATAATTGATCAGCAGCTGCAGGACTAACTGGGAGCTGATGGGATCCAGTTTGGCTGCAGACACTCAATGGATTCACCTGTCAGCATGGCTCTTCAGTCCGGCTCTAACTACACAGCCGACAGCATGGGTCCCAGTATTACCGCCTCACCTGTAGAACCCAGGTAACTTTATTCACCCCACATGGTTTGATCTCATTAAACCAGCATCAATCATTCATAGAACATTTAATCTAAACAGATACTATACAGATCTATACAGATACTCCTTTTAAAAGTATTTAAACCTCTAACTTCACCTTATCTTAGCATTTAACATGGAGACCAACACAAAATAGTGCAGAATTATGGATTGGAGGGAAAATGATGTAAGGTTTTCTCATTTTGTTTTGGATCAACTTATAAAAAGTGTCGTTTTTAAGAACCACCTTTTTTGTTTTTTAGCTATAAGTCTTTTGGGGTTTGTTTTCTGCCAGTTTAGCACATCTGGAGGCTGTAATCTTTGCAAAGAGCAAGAGTTTAAAGCTAAGTGAGAGCCAAAAAAAAAAAAAAAGAAAATTAAAAGCAATCTAATGGACTTTGTTTCTGAGTTTGAAGACGTTTTGCTTCTTTTCACTTCTATCTGAATGACTGAGAATGTTCGGGCATCGATGAGCCCCAGTTTTTGAGTCAAACTAAAATACCCTGCTCGATATAGCTCTATATTTCTGATTAGGCCATTCTAACACATAAATAAACTTCATATTAAACTATTCCTTGTATTTTAATGCTTTTTTTCGTGCAGAGATGTGAACCCCAGGTTTAGCAGATTTCCTATAGGATTGTTCTGTGTTTAGTTCCCTCCATCTTCCCATCAACTGCATCCCATTTCCCTGTCATGTAGTGGGGACGCTGTTGAACATAAGCATCCCCACACCATGGTGCTACCACCACCATGTTTGCATCGTGGAACAGGGGCAATTCTTGCATAAATACAGTTCTGCTGCCCGTGATATCAATATACAGTTGTTTTATGCATATAAGTTGCAGGACAGCAGCACTCTAAGCTGCCCCATCCTTAGTCACCTTGTTAGCTGTGATTGTTGGTTCCCTGTTCAGTGAAGCTTACATAATAAAAATATCCACAGAGATGGTATTTCTGGTTCGGTTTGATTGACAGCACATGTGATCTTCCTGAAAACCAATCCAAGTTAAGAAGACAAACAAGATGGAGCCACTTAATACAGAGGGCTCTAAAGCCCTACTGACCAGGTTTGGAAATAATTACAAAAAGACTAATTCCAGGTGCAATAGGGAGATAACGTGGTTCCATTTTTAAAATGTTCTGCTTGAGCCAAGATGCAATATTGGTGATTCTCTAATGAAACTAAATCAGAGGTTATTTGAGTCGTTTATCATGCAGCTTGTTTGTTGAAGCTCATCACTGGACGGTAACGAGATGTTATAGCTCAGAGTTTTATTCATTGCTTCATCTTTTCTGGATGTCTCTCTAGGGTCGTCTCTATAGTAACCGGCCTAGTGACGGCCACCACTCAGGCCTCTGTCGGGGCATCACGTAACCTCTCGGCCCTCAGGGAGCAAAGGGGCACAGATGAAGGTGAAATCCAGCTGCCACCGACGACGGCGGTGCTCAGTGCAGCTGATGGGAACTCGGCTCTGCAGGGCATGGCGGTGGCGGCTCAGGCTCTGGTGCTGCTCTTCATCTTTCTCCTGTCCAGTCTGGGCAACTCTGCGGTGGTCGTTGTTATCATCAAACACAGACAGCTGCGGACAGTGACCAATGCCTTCATCATGTCGCTGTCTCTGTCGGACTTCCTGACGGCCGTACTGTGCCTGCCCTTCTCCTTCGTCATGCTCTTCAGCAAGGACGGCGTTTGGATGTTTGGAGACGCCTTCTGCGTGGCCAATGGCTTCTTCAACACTTGCTTTGGGATCATCTCCACCCTCACCATGACACTGATCTCCTTCGACAGGTACTACGCCATCGTCAGACAGCCTCAGGCTAAGATCGGGCGTCAGAAAGCCACCCAGCTGCTGGTGGCTGTGTGGTTAACGGCGGTGGTTTTCTCCCTGCCCGGTTACCTGCTGGTCCGAACCTCATCAGGAGTCCATAAACGAGGTTTCTACCACTGCATGTATGTCTTCCACCCTGGGAGCTCTAGTGTAGGGACGGCATACAGCATCTGCCTGATTTCTGTGTGCTACCTACTGCCGTTCTCCCTCATGTGCTTCTGCCACTACAACATCTGCAAAACAGTCCGACTCTCTGAGATCCGGGTTCGACCCGTCACCACCTACTCGTACCTGCTGCGCTTCTACAGCGAGATGAGAACAGCCACTACGGTTCTGATCATGATTGTGTTCATCATCTGCTGCTGGGGGCCGTACTGCCTGATGGGTTTGGTAACGGCAATCGGAAACTACAGGTTCAACCCGGCCATGGACACTGTTGCCATCTGGCTGGCCTGGGCTAACGGTGCCATCAACCCGCTGATCTACGTCCTGAGGAACCCCAATATCTCCATGCTTTTGGGCCGTAGCCGGGAGGAGGGCTACAGGACCAGAAACATTGCCGCCTACCTGTCCGGTCAGAGCCGGAACCGTGAGACCCGGCTGAACCAGGTGGAGAGGATCAGGGACCGCTACGTGACCCGAGCCGGAACCAACAACAGTCGGCTATCAAGTTCCAGTCCTGGAAAAACTGGAGTGGCAGGAGGAGCAGAGATGTGGGCCTGCAAGAACCCAGCCGTGTTCTTCTGCAGGGACACCCGACACGACACCACATCACTGCCGAATGCTGGTGGCGAGATGAAGCCAAAGACTGCCGACACCAGCCTGTGAGCAGGTCCTTCTGTTTGGTTTCTGGTTTGGTCCAAAAACAATCCGAGCCTTTGATATTCTGACATTTGATCACAGATCTTTACCCGGCTTTTTAAAGAAAGAAATTCTGAATCTGAGGAGAACCTTTGAGTAAATTATCTATCATCAAGAGGCGGAACAAGACTGAGCGCTTTGTGTTCTCGCACCTCTATGTGTCAAACTTTCCCAAAAAAGGAAAATATTCAGTTATTCAAATCCTGTCTCAGAGGTTTTACATCTGAAGCTGCTTTAGTGTAAACTTTAAATGACTTTGATGTTCATAAACCAGGCAGTATTGTTGGCTAGAATAAAACAAATCAAACTCATATCTTATCAACATGCTTATATCTGACACATGAATTATAAATAACCATGAAATGAACAAGTCAACTCTTATTACTACTTAACTCTTATTTTTTATTATTCATGTTTTCTTTGTATAAGTATATGTTTGATTTCTAAATAAGATCAATGTAATCTTTTAATCTAAATCCAGAGGAAGTAAGATAAATAATTAAAATACAATTGCACCTTCGTATGAGAACATTATCAGAGATCTGAAAGTTGCTGACAATCTGTTTGACTCTCAAAGATCAAAAGAAAGGTTGTTTGTTGGTTTAATTCTGTTTTTTTTTCTGACCTAATGTAATCAGACAGCTTTCGGTGGCAGCAGCATCACGGACACGTTTGCCAGAAGTTACAACCTGCCTCTGCTCCAGCGACGCTGAGACAGGGAGGTCTCATCTGGCTCTGGGGTTCAAATGTTGTTCATGTTCTTCACATTTTACAGGAAACTGGGATGTTAATGGGAAGAATGTTTGCATCAAGAAGTTAAAGATGGTGGAAAATAGAAAAGATGGCGAAACATTATTAAATGAAAAAGCTTAGCGTATGATGCACTTCAAACATTTATAACAGGGTCTGGCTCCTTGGGTGGAAAAAAGTTATCAGAAAGTCCAGTTCCAGGTGCTATTGGATCTTGTATCTGGACCAACCAATTTAAAGGGGAGATTTTTCTGAAAGAAACTCTCTGTGTGTTGCTTTGCATATTCAAAGTATTTTAATAATCAGAAATTTAACATTCAGTATTTTACCTTTCATGTTTTAATAAAAAGGAATGGTTGAACTTTATCATGAATTGTTTTATCTCTAACAAATGCAGCTGCATAATGTTGAAATACAACAGCAGCCTGTAAGGGTCATTTTGTCTAAACTCTAATAAACAGCTGGTTCTGTGAAATTGGCAGGGCTGGAAAGAGCGTCTGTCTGGATATAAACATGTTTGCTGAGCAATGATGGCTCAGACAGAGTGAGGTGATGCAGGGTTATTAATAGCTGAGTTTATCTATAGCTTAAAAAAGAATCTGCAGACAGATTATAATCCTTTATTCCTTCATGCTTAAGTTTTACCCAGAGATTCTAAAGCACAGGTAATAACTAAGATTTGTCAAAATAAACAGGTGTTTTGCAGTTATTTTCTATTCCTGAACCATAAAGTTCCACCTTAAAGGAAATAGTCCCTCAGCCATTTGCAGCATCGCATTTTGGACATTATTCTTAGAAACAGTAGTTACTTTATTTTTGTTTTAAACTCTAAATCATTATTTTTTTTTTTTAGAATAATCTTTATTAATAAAAAGAATAATGATTTTCACTTTATCAAACAAATATTTTGGGTCTAGAGATACAATATTTTTTTACGTTTTTCATTTCATTTATGACTTAAAAGGCTTTCCAATAAAGGTTTTTCAATGAATTCAGGAAGCTGGACTCAACAGTAACGTTTGCAATAGTTTTCCACTAGATGGCGCTAAAATCCTCCCACGGCTGCACTAATCTGAGCTGCTTTGTAGCATTTATTCAGTCTAATTATTCTGTCAATGCTGCAGGTTTGGTGCTTTCATTTGATGACATTCAGGAATACAGCAAAAACATTTCCCGGGATAGTGAAGGCACCATCTGACCACATGTAAAGGACTTTTCCAGATGCAACACTGAGCTATAATATAAATATAAAATAAGTCTAACGTCTTAGAATAAGATAATATAACTTTCCATTTAACTCCCGGAAGCAATTTATGTTTAAATGCAAGAGGTGGAACCATTTCATTGTTTTACAAGTTACAAGTTAAGTCCAACGAAAGACGCCAAATTGTATCTCAAGCTCCAATTGTTAATTGATAGCCTACAAGATGTGAATACAGGATGATGCAAGTTTCCCACAATTATTAATGATTTAACACAGATAATAAGACAAATTAAGGCATTAAAAGAGTAGTGCAACAATAGAAAGTAATTTCTGTTTCAGTATTTGTCTCTTTGTCTTGAACCCAAGGAACATAAAAAACAACTGTTGTGTCAAATATGGATTTTCTTGCTTTAATCTCCATCTTCTTAACCCACAGATTTCAGAGAGAATATTTGGGATAAAAAAAGGTGTTTGCAAAGTTACCTCTAATTTTTCTAATACTAGCCCCTTGAGTACACAGAGGATCACTGCGAGCAACATCAGATGTGAATTCTTTTAGGCCACAAAACTTGTTATAAACCCGGGATCATAGCAATGATCATAACAATGTGGATTATCAAATAAATAATACATTACAGCATCAATTTCCATCATTTATTTTTCATTTATGTGTTTTTTTTATTTTTTGCCCATAACAAAAAAAACTTCTTTTTTTTCATGAGATGTGCAGAATGCTATATGTAAGATGATGCTGGTTTGATACTATTCATTAAGCTAAATAGTCTTTCACAGGAGTGTTGGCCTAGTGGTTAGAGAAGTGCACTTCTCTAGAGAAGGTTGCATACCTGGTTCGAACCCCTCAGCCTGAGCTGGACCCTTAACCCCATGGCAGCCCACTGCTCCACAAGGGGATGAGGTCAAATGCAGAGAGTGAATTTCCCCATTTTGGGACCATAAAGGGATTTATATCTAGAGCTGCAGCCACCACATGGATGTAACTTTTTGGTGGGACAGGGGGGACATGTCCCCTGCACTTTTTTTGACATATGTTTTATTACGCTACAGTAACCTGACATTCGTTAAGCATTAGGACCAAGTGGATAAACTGCAGCTCAAGCTCACACCAATTGTTGCAGTGTTAAAGTTACACTTTGAGAGTACATTTGGTCCCACACTAATTCAGATTGGCACCAAATGTACTCTTGAGTGTTACTTTAACACTGCAACATTTACTGTGCCGAAGCCAGCTTCCCTGAGTTTAGACCACCCATAAGCTCCTGATTGGCCCTCCCTATTTCCTTGTGTGATTGGCTGTCACCGCTGTCACTCCCGAGAGGCTCAGTTTACAAACCTCTGATGCGCCACTGAATGGGTCTGTGACTGGATGGTCAAACACCCTGAAGTTAGTTATATTAAAATAAATACTTGCATCCCGCCACTTCTGAAATAAAGATTTCATCCATGAGCCAGCATATCTGAGAATTTGCTTCATCATGTACTTGAATTTAAAAAACAAACAAACTAGCAAAAAAAAAAAAGGTCACTCGGAGCATCGCGCCACATGGTGAATGGATGGATCATCAGCTGTGTGCATGTTGGACAGCAGGACTGTTATGAATCTGTGAGTTTTATTCCTTAGAAATCCTAGACTGGAAAATAAGTCGGTCATATATTCGTCGTCCTGCTGGGTTATTTATTTATGCTCATGCAGCGCTCTTTCGTGCGCTGAATAAGGACAGTGGCTGAACTATTTTTAAAGGAATTCTCCTGTTTTATTATACATATTTATCCAAATTCATCTTTGAAACATATTTCAAAATTAAAAATTATACTGAAAAACTGTTATTAGTCTATTTGATTTAGTTTGTTAGATTTAATTTTATTATGGGGCCAAAATGGTAGCTTTAATATTTGCAAATGTGTGTGGAGAGTTGTGTGTCTGTATCTCGATTTGTGTGTGTGCAGTGGGATTTGAAAATGTGTAAATAAATCTGTAAATGTGTGAGGAGATTTGCGTGTCTGTACAACAATCTGCAAATGTGTAAAACTACTTGTGTGTAATCCGTTTTGCAAATGTGTAAAAAATCCACAAATCTGTATTCAGATCTGCAAATGTGTACTGAGATTTGCAAATGTGTAAAAAATCCACAAATCTGTATTCAGATCTGCAAATGTGTACTGAGACTTGCAAATGTGTAGATCAATCTGTAAGCACACACAGAGACACTTGTGTCTGAAGTATTTTCGCTTCAAGACCCAGAAATACAGACAAATCATTGGTTACAAGCAGGGGCGGATTAAGAAATTTTGGCCCCCTGGGCCTGACATGGTCTTGGCCCCTCAACCCCCCGCACGTGCGGGCGCACACACACGCACGCACTATGCAAGAGATACTGTATACTGTGAACAGACATGCACACTGTCCTGTATAGAAGAGTGCACATACTGCACACACACTATTAGGTATACCACACAGACACTGACAAGCACAGGTTTCACACAGACACAGGGGGAGGGGATAAATGGACTAAAAATAAACATTTTGGAAAATGATTATGCCCACTTCAGTGATGGTGCATTGGGTCATTTGAGAGATATTATGTATTGGAAGTTGGTAGCTATCATGAAATAAACCCCCCACCCCACCCAAAAAACTAAATCGGACATGATTTTTGCCCCCTTTTCCTCCCTTCTATCATTAAAAATAAAATAATATCTTAGGAAAACACTTTGGCATAACGGCAGCTGTGCAGCAAATTGAGGCTCAAAGTCTGTATCTATTTGTGGTTAAGCTTGAGGAGAAGGAGAAAGGTAAAATGATAACATGCATCGGAGAGCACCACAAAGAAAGGTGTAGGCCAGTTCATGGTACAAGGGCTGCATGCAGGTCAAGATAGCCCATTTCCAAGAATGCTATAGTGGCTGGACAGGCACTGGACATGTCCTGAACTCAGTGTCAGACGTGGCTGCCGAATACTTGGATGAAGTGAAGCAGCTGACAGATCTCATGCTGCCCCATCTGAAGACTGTCCTGGCCAGGCAGAGGATGGATGAGGAGACCTTCCCAATGGACCCTGTCAGTGAACAGGCTAGTAACATTGATGGCACCCCTGTGCACAACATTGGGATGGAGAGATAATGTGGCAAGGTGGACTACAAACTGAAGAAGTTGGGCACACTGAACGCAGTCAATAGGTCAATAATTTTACAGAAGTGCCAGGAGCTTCAGAGGTTTCAAGGCAGCAGCACAAGCAAAAAGGGAGGTTGAACTCAACTGGAGTAAATTCATGAAGGCAAAATTCGAGAGTAGGGCAGATGAGAAACAAGAGATGGCTCAAAGAAAGGAGAGTAAGAGACTAGACATGCTGGACACACTGAAATCTTTTGATGGCCCCTTCACGATAGTGGGGAAGTTGAAAAGTTCCTTGTGGATGAAAGTCTGCACAAGAATGCAAAGCTGCAGAGAATGAAGCTTGAGGTTCAGTTTGCCAGAGAAAGCACCAAGCTTCTGCCTAAAGTCAATCCTATCTTCACAATCCAGGTGACACTTCCCAGAAATGGCGAAAGTGCAATTCTCCAAGTCATAATGGATACTTAGAATTTTACTGTGGTGGTAAGTATTCATGAAAACAGGTAGCCTAACATTAGTGAATGGGTGAATTCTGGAAATAACCTAAAAATCTTACACAGTGCACCTTTAAGCAAGGGGTTTCTTTCGTGCTTTCAATTTTGCAAAATCATCCACCACATCATTGAAGTCCAACTCTCTTGTCAGCTCACTCTCAATTGCCATTAGAGATAACGCATTTAATCTTTTCTGAGTCATTCTTGTGCGCAGCTCATTTTTTACTCTTGACAAAAGAGAGAATGAGCGTTCTCCCTCACAGTTTCCTGACCGGTAGAGTGAGAAAAATCTGTAGCGCAATGTATGTATTAGGAAACGTAGGCTGTAGTCCAAAATGTATTATTGTTTTGAGCAGTCCTGAAGGGGTCCTCTCCTCATCAGTGTTGTTGAGCTGTATAAAAGATTTGAACTGTATAAGCTCCTGTCCAAGACTTTCATTGAGGTCAGATGGGTATGATTCAGTGAGAATCTTGGCCTTGTGAAGGACTGAAGCATTGGACGCTGTATCCAAAGAGAAAAGGACACTGAACAAATTGT